GAGTCAAGGAAAGAAGTGAGGTGGGAAATGAAAGAAAAAATTAAAGAGTGAGATGAAAGAAGGAAGAAAAAAGAAAAAAATCAAGAATCAGAAGAAGAAAAAAGAAAAGAAAAATAAGAAAAGAGGAAAGATGGGGGTGAAAAATTAAAATGGCAAGAAAAAGAATAAAAAGGAAGATGAGAATAAAGAAAGGGAGGGAGAGAGAGAGATGATGATGTAAAATCAGAATGTCAAGAAAAAGAAGAGGAGAAGAAACAAAAAAAAGAAGTGAGATAATATGAAATCAGAATGACAAAAAGAAAAAGAATGAATAATCAGAAGAAGAAAATGAAGAAATAATAGAAAAAGAAGAAAAAAGAAGAGAAAAGAAAGAGAAAAATTAAAATGACAAGAAAAAAAAAAAGGAAGAGGAGAATATAGCAAAAGCAGAGAGAGAGAGAGTGTGTGAAATCAGAATAAAAAGAAAATAGACGAGCAAGAAAAAAAGAAGAGAGAGATTGTGTAAAATCAGAATGAAAAGGAAATAGAGAAGTAAAAAAAAGAAGAGATAGTCTGAAATTAGAATGAAAAAAAATAAAGAAAAAGAAAAAGAAGAGAGAGAGAGATTGTGTGAAATCAGAATGACAAGAATAAGAAGAGGAAAAAATAACGAAGGAATAAAAGTGAGGGCAAGAAAATGAAAGAAACAAAAATAAATTAGAATGACCAAAAAAGTTAAAGAAAAGGGAATAGTAGAAGAAGGAAATATAAAAAGGAGAAAAAAGAAATAAAAGAAAAGAATTTGACAAAGAATAAGAATTAAAAAAGAAAGCATTCAAAATGAAAAGAAGATAGAGATAAGAAAATATAGAATAAGAAAAGAAAGAAAAGCAGGAAGAAGAAAATTCAAGCAACAAAGAAGCAAAAAAGATGTCTGAAAGATGAAACTAAAAAAGAAGAAATGATTCAATAGACAAAGAGAAAAAAAGTGCAAAACAAAAAAAGAACATTAAACCAGAAAACAATCAAAATGAACAGAAGATGGAAAATAATGTGAGGAAACGTTTGGTAAGAATTGAACTGAGCCAATGGAAGCGCTGATCAAAGATTAAAAGCCTGGCTAAATGGAAAACTGATCTGATATCAAATTGCCTTTTGCAAAATTATTTTTTTACTTTTTAATTCATTTTACATCTTATGACCGATATGACTTTCCAATTGTTGGACTTTCTGGAAGTCTCAAAATAAGGAAAAAGATGCCAAATAGATTTCCATTCCTATTATAATTTTTTTTTCAGGGATTATGCTTTTTATTTTCATTGCTTGTGTGTGTATGGGTACATAAATTTGTTAGGGAATGTGTCATTGGATATGTGTATGTTCATATGTATACATGGCTAAAGCCATATATCTGTCTCTGTCAGTGATTTTCAAACAGTGTGTCATGGCACACTGGAGTGTCATGAATGGATTGTAGGTGTGACACAAAAATTTTTAAAGGTCATTAATAAATTTTCAAAAGAAGTCCAAAGTACAATAATTGTACATATCAAAATTAAAAGCTCTTTTGATTATATATCATATAATTAAATTTGAAGTTTTTAGCTTCGTTTTTTGAAACATGGTTTTTGAAACATTGTTGTGTAGCAAAGAAAGCCTATTTTAAATCAGTTAATAATAATAATATTTATGCTCTGTAAATTTACATTGAGCACTGTTTTGTAAAAATAACAATAAGAACACCAGATTATATATCTTACTGTTCTTTCTTTTTATTATAATATATATATATATATATATATATTTTTTTATTTTCATTTTTTTTAAGTGTTTCACCCCAAGGAAGGCAGGAAGCCACTAGGACGCAAGGGGTTACAGAAAATTTGGAGCAAGATCAGATAGGAGTGATAGAAGAAAGGATGAGGAGAAGGGTAGTGGATAGATCAAGGCAACTGGAAATGTTGATTGACATTACATTTGAATAGCTGGAGATTATAGCTCTCAGGGAAACTGGAATAGGGAAGGGAGTTCCACAGGCAAGAGATGTGAAGTATGAAGCTATTGGAGTAGAAGAGACGGCTGCATTTAGGAGTTTTGACAGTGAAGGGGTAAAAGCAGGATGCCAGCCTCATAGGGCGTTTGAACTCATGAAGTCTGGGAACCAGCAAATGCTGCTCCTCGGAGCAATTGCCATGAAAGTATTTGTAAAACAGACAGAGAGAGGCAACGTCGCATCTGTGAGAAAGTGACTGTAGACGAGATGCCAGATTAGGGCCAATTATATTGCATATCCGCCTCTGGAGCCTATCAAGAACCCCGAGGCAAACAGAAAGGGCTCCAGACCATATATGGCAGCAATACTCCATGCAAGGGCGAATTGTTGATTTGTATATATATATATATATATATATATATATATATATATAAATATATATATATATATATATATATATATATATATATATATCTGTGTTAGGACTTGATCTGGTATCTCATCTACAGTCACATTCTCAAAGATGTGCTGAGGCTTCCCTCGGTCTTTTCTACAAATACTTTCACAGTAACTGGTCTGATGAGCTACTTTCGCTACACTACGAGGTTGGCATCTTGGTCCTACTCTTTCACTGCCAAAACTGTTAAATGTAGCCATCTCTTCTACTCCAATAGGTTCTTATCTCGTACATGGAAATCCCTTCCTCTTACTTGCTTTCCTAATAGCTATATTCTTCAAATATTCAAATGTAATGTCAATCAACAAAGGCTCCGCCAAAAATTGCTCGAAGACCCCATATAAAATGTAGTTGGGTAGCTGTTTCTGGAGACAAGACTCTGCCCTTCATCATAGCCTAATCTTGGGATCCCCTCTACCTTGGAGGTAGAGAGTTTGAGCAGCACAGCTGGAGACGAATCTCCAACTGCAGACCAACATACAGTATTTACTACTGTATTTATGTCAATGGGGACATACCAATTAGGTATGATACAACAATAATATATAAAATAATATAAAAATGCAAAAATCTGCTGCCATTCATTTACACAAGCTTGTTAAATATGTTACTTATTGTTTCTCTCTTCCTCTGTTGCTTTCACTATATTGTTTTCACTATTCTCTTCATGTCTTCTTCATTATGCATATGTTCTGTCCATGATATTCATAGCATTCTTCTGTAAAAATACTTCTCTACTGTCTCAAGTTTCCTCTTTATCTGTGAGGTAATTGTCTAACATCTATTGCTGCATAGGAAGATTGTCACGTTATAGCAGTACCACACTCTTGTCTTTTTTTCTTTTTCTAATGCTATTTTTCTATTTTTACACTATTTACATAGTTCAGACTATCGTCCTCATCCTTGTTGCCAAATTTATTGCAATAATTATTTTTTTTAATAATTTACATAGATTTTGGGAGGCATTTTTTCCTATTTCTTAATACTTTATCATAATAACATATCTAATTTACTCTTTTGAATGGCTGTTGTTAGTTGATATTTACACATGTAGAAGTTTCTTAATGCTATAACTACTTTACGAAGGTAAGTCAAATATTATCGGCACTTTCACTATAACAGATCTTTAGGTTAGGGACACTGCTTTCTGCTCATGTGTACTTATAATTGGTAATATTGTGGTCATGTGATCGAAATTTGCTACAGTGTAAAAATGACCACTCCACGTGATCTAAATCTACAGAGAACATGCTACAAAAATCGATGATAACTTGCTGGTTTGCGATTACCATGTTTCGTGCTTGCTGAATCTTCTCATCAGTAGTGGAGATTGAAGGGTATCCTTCTTTTTCATGCTTTACTGGCCACTTCTAAAATTCTCAGTCTACACATACACATTTCTACATGGTAGTGTCTTGTCACCAATATTGAGTTAAATCCTCTGATTCGTCCTGGATAAGACGTTAAACTACATCCACATCCTGGGTAAGACATTAAACTACATCCCGCTGCAAGGCCTCTGATCAGGAGGTTTTGAGGAGTGTAGAACCACCTCTTAATTGCTGGTGTTCCCAGTCCCATACTGACCCTGAATGGTAGCACCTGTTAGGGTCCCAGCTATGGGCAAATATTTAATTATTACCAGTAATACTTTTTTGAAAAAAATTATTACCAGCAATACAATTTTGAAGGAAATATATTACGTGGGTGTAGTTTATTGTCATAACCAGGACGGTACATTTTTGAGATAAAAAAAATTAACAGAAACAGATTTTTGACAAAACAAAATATTACCAGCAAAAAAAATGTTGTCCGCATTAAATAACCCATTGAGGTTGATATGCCGTAAAACAAAATAAACCAAACCAATGAATTTCAGTCCCTTACACACCTTCTAATCAGAAAAATCAGATCACTGTTCTTTGTTCCTCTTTGATACACACTGCTAGCAGAGCGGCCATGTTTACACTGTAACAGCAGTAAGAAAACTGGTGCAATCAAGCTCAACCTTTAGCACATGACCACAGTAGTAGCAACTATAAGTATGCTTAAGCAAAAGGCTGTGTGACAAACCTATGTTATGGTGAAAATGCAGGTAATTTTTGACTTACCCTTGTAGTATGTACTGATATTTGTGAAGACATGCCAGTTTTTTTAAACAGTGTAAATTTACATCTACCTGCCTGTGGAGTCAAGAGTCTTAACAAAGAAGATGTCCCTTACAGCAGGTTTCAGAGACAGCAGGGATGTCTATCCAAACACGTGTATCCAAAAAATATAATATTTGAAGTAATAAGAAATAATGTCAGATTAAAAATAAAACCAATTAATTCCTCAGGAATTATTTGTGGACTGATTGATTGATTTGTTTTTTATGGCTTATGAACCTGTGGTTTGGTTAGTTGATTTTATTTAGCAGCATATCAACCTCTATGGGTTATCTAATGTTAAAATCTAAATATTTTGAAATAGTTTTATGGCTTCAACTACAGATAAAATGTATTGTTGGTCATTTTGCTATAAAATTTATTGTTGGTAATTCTGCTATAAATATGTAACATTTTTTTATATAAAAATGCATTGCTGATATTTTTACTATAAAAATGTATTTTTATACTTTCATGGCTTTTGGGGATTCACTATTTACCCATAGCTGGGACCCTAACAGGTGCTACCACCCCAAATCACAGGTGGTTCCATGCTCCTCAAAACCTCCAATCTCCTGATCAGAAAACCCTTTAAAGCTGAAACATATTTAGGATTTTAAGAATAATTCTTTTTAGTGAGTGAAAATTGCATTATATATTTTCTTTTTTGAGAATAACAATGATTTTTCCTGATATATGTCCTACTAGCTAGGAGAGGGGATGGACTCATACCTAATTACTTGCAGAAGTGCAAATAATTTAAAACAAGCTTTTTAGTACTTTTTCTTTTTTCTAGAATCATTTGTAAATAATTCTTTACTGGTTTATTTTAACATTCCTGGCATGATTAAGTTGTTTACAAAATAGAATGCCATTTATATTTTAGACTTTAAATGATGGACTAAAACTAGAATTTATCTAGGTAAAAACAGAAAGCAGGTAAGTAATAGAATCATAAAACATGCAGCACTTGCTTGGAATTAGCTCACAAACATCTCAATTCTCTCTTTCATTTGGTGCTATACATTCTTTATTTTTGTCTTTGTTAGCTACCAGTCACCAAGTGTTTGGTATATCAGTCAGTCACTAGTTATTTTTAGGTATGTTTTTATGTTTAAAAAGCTAACTTATATACCAGCATATACTTTGGTAACCTCAATTTTAAAGATACGTGCTAAATTTAAATGCTTGGTTTGTGATGCCATACCACCAGCACATCTGGAATGAAACCTCAGAAATTTTGATCCTCTTTCTTTTGTCTGTTCTTTGGGGTCATGCCTGAAAGGAAGAATTAAAAACCATTACTACAACATGGATTTGTTTTGTACTTCTGAACCCACTGTGTATGATGTCATAAGGTACAGGATATAGCCTTCACGAAATTAAGAGAGTCAAGAGAGCTTGTCTGTTACTGACAGTAGTTAAAGGAACTATGTCATGCAAGACTGAATTCTTAATGAGCTATGCATGAACTTGTAAGCCTTTCAGTACTTGGCTTTTTTCTTTTTTAGAATCATTTATAAATAAAACTTTTAGAGCACGGATTTATCTGAAAGAAAACGCTATATTTTTTATTTTAATCTGACTAGTGAAGATTTGCAAACAAACGGTTTTATTTTATACATGATTATCAAATGTTTTTGCCTGTTGGCATTTTGAAGGTGTGAATACCCTACAGAGATTAGAATCAACGAAACACTTCATTGTTACTTTCATACTAATTTATCACCCTCCACTGCATCCAGCAACTGACCAATAGCTGGAAAGTTTAAGCCCTTTAATTTTGAACGTCACATCAGGGATTATTACTTGCTACTGGTGCCATATAACTCAAGAAAAACTGTCACATGTTAGTTGGAGAGGAGATGAGCATTGCTATGTAAATCTATACATAGTAGAATCCCTGACATCCAGACTAAGAAGCCCTTCTAGATATGAGGAATTGGTTACAAAGTCTGGATATGAGGGGGTTATATTTAGATTAAAATAAAAGAACTGAAATCAGGTTTAACATTTATTTTCAATGTTTTATAGTAAACAAAATAAGCTAATGGTGAGTGAAATATAATGTTACTGATTTTAAGGAAAAAGAAATAAATTATGAAATATTAATGAAAATTCATTAAATTAAGTCTGCCATGTATGCAAAACAAATAATGTAATGAGGATTTTTTAATCGCTGTTGCATGATGATTCTTTCTCTTCTAATGTCATTCTCAACTTTTTTCACATTTCGTTTTGCTTTTATTTGTGAAATTTTTTAAATGAAAGAGACTTTTTCACTCTGTGTACGTTATTGCAATCATCATAGCTGAATGCTGGCTTTCTTTCCATAAAACTGACAACCTTTTCAATAGCTTTTTCAATTTCAGTCCAGGTTCCATCACAATCATGCATCTCGTCACTATTTTGTTGCAGATATGTGTCTCATTGTCTTCCTTTCCTCTTATTCCTATCAACTTTTGCACCAATACAAGCCATTAGGGTGAAATAAGCATAAGCAACTATCCAAATTAAATTTCCTGAAAAACAGAAATTTCAAATCAGTTCAAATATCCACATCAAAATCATGTCTGGATATGAGGGATTCCAAATATGAGGGCTTCTGGATATGAGAGATTCTACTATATTTAGAAATGTTTTTGAATTGAAATTTGAAAAAGATGATCAAATTCAAGGAACAAAAATAAGTGTGCATTCTTTATTGTTGTATTACTGCAAATGAAGACATCTGAAGGAAAATGATGTCCCGAGAGAAAAAACAAATGAGAGAAGAAAGAGCAAACTACAGGAGAAAAGAATTGTATATTACATGTATAAGGTATTTTAGATATTTAGACATACAGATAGTATGATCAACCTACAAGTAGGAGGAAATATAAGGACTATGATAAAGTTACAGGACATACCAAAGGTGGAAACATTCAGTAAATAGATACAGGTTTGGTAGACATACTGCAATTGTATCTTAATTACAAAACATTCCAGATATCTCTGCATAAATTATGTTAATTCTTGATACAAAGGCATTAAGAATCTATGCATAAAACATATGTTATCTAGGTACAAGGTATTTCATAATTTTATAGAATCAATAAATGTGTTCTTGGTACAAGTGTTTCAGTCATCTAGTAAATGAGTTCAAGACACACAATTATCCAAACGTCTAAACATACAACAAGTAAGATCTAGGTGCAAAGCATTCTTAAGTTGTAAATATATAGTAAGTGCAAAAGTATCTAGTCACAGTGTTTTAGGTTTAAAAGTCCTAAAGCGATTTAAAATATAGTAACTTTAATGTTGGCTCTTTCTTTTTTTAATTGATTTTTCCAAATAGAATTTACTACATTCTGAATATGCATTAAAATAATCTAAAGAGCTAAATACTTAAATAAGTAATACAAAAATACAAAATAGTTAAATAAGTAATACATTTTTAAATCGTTTTTTTTTCTTTTGGGGTTACAATGATTTCATTGTGTTTATATTAGAGACCAAGTAATCTGATGAATTAGTAATATTAATAATGGTAAAATCATAAATAAAATATTATTATTTAAGTTGTAAAAATAATGTATGATGTCTTTGATAGCATTTATTAAACAAAGTTTTATTTGCTCTTCATATATAGAGATAGAAAATATAGAAAGTTAGTAAAGAAATGTTAAAATTTGTCATACATTTAGCATAGGAACAAATATGAATTTCACATAAATTAAATTTTTTTATATTACTCCAAGCCAAGCTGAAGAGGTACTTAGAGTAGAGAGTTACTGTGTGGTGTTGCATGAGCATAAAAAAGCAAGAAATAGGGTGCACTGGAATTATTCAGAAAATATAGCAGTCAACCAAGATTTGAAGAGGTTAAGATTGTAGTGATTGGGAAAAACATCTTGCTGGGTGTCAGTTCCATAATGCAGCAGTCCTTGGGAAGATGATACTCAAATGGAACTTACTTTTTACTATTGGAATACAAAAGGAATGGAAATACTGAGTGAAATTGTTGTAAAGGAGGGGGAAGCAGTAAGTGCATATTATGAGGATATGTAGGATAGATAACAATTGACCCTGTACTTGAAGAGTTTAACATTGTTAAGATCAGGGAAGCATCCTCTTGGAAGCCTGTTCCAAAAAGTTCTGAGGAAGAGGTTTAGTGGAACTTACTTCTTACCAAAAGAACGTGAAGAGAATGGGTCTTATTTACCAACCATAAAGAATGGCATGGCACTAGTCCTAGGTGTGAAAGTCTGATTTGGTGGGGCTAAGGAATGTAACGTGTTAGAAAATTTCCCATAGTAATAGTGATAGAAAAGTGAGAGGCTAGCAACAGCGTGGAAAATAATTCATCACCCACAAGGCCATGTAAATGCTTTTGAACTCTGTCGAAGATGGACAGTGAGGACTGGCCAGCACAAGCCCAGATATGAAGATGATTATTTAATATTTAAGTTCTTGAGAAAATATACAAAATTTCGTTTCATCTGGAAGTAGAAAAGGTATATTTGCCCCCCCCCCAAAAAAAAACAATAGGTCACTCTGTACATTATTTACATTATTCAGACTATTGTCCTCATCTTTGTTGCCATATTTGTCACAACGTTTCGGCCGTTGTATGCTCCAGCCTTCTTCAGGTGGTTGGAATGTCGACCTGAACCTTTAATTTCGCTTACTGGGGTAGACTGTTCTAGTTCCACGTCCCATGTTTTAATAGATGTCAGTTATCAGTTATCTCCTGTTAATTTTTCCCTCTGAAAGTTTTCCACTCCCTTAGCTGGGTATTGAACTCACACTCTTTGGGTTATGTCACTGGATCTAACCAACGCCTTTATCCACTGTACCATGTGTCCTTGAGGACAAAGATGAGGTCAATAGTCCGAATAATGTAAATGATGTACATAATACCTCATCTCAGAAATATAGACAGATATTGTAGGTCACTCTGGTTACACGATTACTTTGTTACAAGAAAATGAAAATTCAATGAAAGAGTGTTAACATTAAAGAGAAAGAACAATAAAAGAACAGGAATTCAGAAGAGAGAAGATAACGTTTGATTTTGCATTTAAATTTTTGAAAATCAAAGTTGTCTGGAAAGCAAGAAACAGGAAAAAAGTTCCACAAATGAAAAGTGTAAGAGAGAAGAAACTGTTAGCATAGAACTTACAGTTACATCTAGCCATTTCAACTGCAAAAAGATGAGACCTAGCTACCAATCTAGTACTGCACTTAAATTTGTAAAGTTAAAATATCAAAGAGGAAAGTTTATTACAACAATTACCATGAGAGTATTTATAGAAAATTTTACAAGGAAATTATGTTATGGCAGTGAGAAAGTGACTGAAGCCGAAATGCCAGGAGAGTTGGAAAGAAGGTGATTGTCAGTTGTTAAATACAAATAAATGTCAGAAGGGAGCAATTATGTGTATAAGTTGTAACCTTTATTAAAAATAAATGCTAATCTTATTTTCCCCTCAGTAGTATTCTTAACTAAAATTATAATAATGACTAATGATGTATGTTTTGTAACCTAACATCAAATTGAATGAAAGAAAATTTTAGACAATTTCCAGAAATGTGTCTATCAGATGAAATAGGAAGCAGCAGAAGTCATAAAATTATAGTTGTTAAGATCATTTAGATATAAAAACAGTCGGACATATTATTAATCAATGAGCAGTTTACATCACTGTCCTTTAGAGACACTTATGGTATGCCATTAAAATGGATACATAAAAAATAGGCAAAAGTAGATTAAGAAAGAGAAAGAGAAAAGGAAGAGAAAATGATCGCGATTTCTAATATATTAATTTTCCTTTTTATTTCATGAGTAATCATTTTCAGTATTGAATATTCCAGTCTTCTATATTCCTTTTCTGTCTTCTATGTTCTTTTTCAGTCTTAAATATTCTTTTTCAGTCTTCTGTATTCTTTTCAGTTTTAAATATTCTTTTTCAGTCTCAAATATTCTTTTTCAGTCTTTTATATTCTTTTTCAGTCTTAAATATTCCTTTTCAGTTTTAAATATTCTTTTTCAATCTTCTATATTCTTTTTCAGTCTTAAATATTCCTTTTCAGTCTATATTCCTTTTCAGTCTTCTATATTCCTTTTCAGTCTTCTATATTCTTTTCAGTCTAAAATATTCCTTTTCAGTCTTAGATTTTCTTCTTCAGTCTTCTATATTCTTTTTTCAGTCTTAAATATTCCTTTTCAGTCTTAAATATTCTATTTCAGTCTTATATATTCTTTTCAGTCTTAAATATTCCTTTTTAGTCTTAAATATTCTTTTCCGTATTCTATATTCTTTTCAGTTTTAAATAGTCCTTTTCAGTCTTAAATATTCGTTATTCCCCTATTCTATGTTTATTTTTAAATTTTTTATTCCTTTTCGTTCTTATATATTGTTTTTCATTTTCCTTCTTAAATATTCTTATTCTTTTAAATTCATATTCTTTTTCATTCTTATATATCATTTTTTAATATTATAAATTCATTTACTTTTTCATTCTCATATATCTGTTTCTTTTTTATTCATATTCTTTTTTCTTATACCTTCTTTTCCTTTTTCATTTTGAACTTTTCTTTTTAATTCTTTTATTTTGTTTGTCTTTTTAATTCATAGATATACTTTTCATTTTTCATACATTCCTTTTTATTTTTTTGTTTTTAAATCTTCATTTTCATTTTCATTCTTATATATTCTTTTTCTTTATTATTCTTTAATTTTATTTTTTTTTCCTTTTTTTCATTCTTGTATTTTTAATTTTCAATCTTTTTCTTTTACATTCTTACTCATTTTTTCTTTTTCATTCTTAAATATTTTTTTTCATTCTTATATATTTTTATCATTATACATTGTTTTTTTATTTTTATATATTCTATTTTGTTTTCATTCTTATATATGTTTTTTATTCTTAAATATTCTTATATTTTTCACTTAGTTTCTTTCAAATTCCTTCTCATCCATTATTATATCTTTTCATTTCTTTTTTTATAAATATTTTGTTATTTAATAGTTTTTTAATCATTTTATCCCAAGTAAGTCACTAATTCCCCTAAAATACAAGGGGTTGCTGAGTGTGAAAGAATAAGAAAAACATTATTATGGCATGAGAAAAATAAAAGAGGAATCAAGAAAATGATTGATGTTGCATTTAAATTTTTAAAGATCAAAGTTGACTGGAAAACAAGATACTGGAAGAGAGTTCCACAAGTGAAAAGTGTGATAAAAGAATTACTTAGCACAGAACTTATGATAGCATCAAACCAATTCAACTGTAAAAAGATGAGACATAGCTGCCAATCTAGTACCGCACTTAAATTCATAAAGTCTTGGTAACTTAGATCAAAGCTCACCAGAACAAATTATTTATAGAAAAAGTATAGAGAAGCTACATTAGAGCAGTGAGAAAGTGACAGAAACTGTGATACCAGGTCATGACTAATAACATTGCAGATCCTTCTTTGAATTTCATCAAGAATCCCTAAATATCTATCAGGAACATCAAATCATGGTAGCAATATTCAAAGCAAAGATGAATGATAAACTTATAAATATGTAAGATAGATTCTGGAGAGAAAAATTGTCTAGCACAACACAGTGAATCAAATTTCCTAGCAGCAGAACTAACAATTGATACAATATAATCTTTCCACTTCATGTCAGCAGAGAAAGTTAGGCCAAGAAGGCACAATGAGTCACCCTCCTGTAGGTTAGCATCAGCCATACTGATGGAAGGCAAAAAGAGATCTCTCAGATGGTTAATAGAAAGCAGTTTTTTTACTAGAGACATTAAAATTAACAAGACATTCCTTGCCTCAGCTAACAGCAGATTTTAGATCACTTTTGGTATCTGCTGCCAATTTGACTTTATCAAACTGATTAGATGTACTAATAAATGATGTAACCACCCATATGCTCATCTA